TTTATTAACCTCTCGACATCTAAAATTACTTCATTGCCAGTGTTACCACACAGCAGGCATACCATGCTACCTAAAACCGTGCTAAGCTGCTTAGAGCCAGGATGCCCCAGACGCCAAGGAAACTCCAATATCAACCAGCCATTGATCAAGAATATGGAACACTCACTTTACTGTATTATTGGCTTTAATGACAGGGAGGAAGAAGGGTTCTTTACCCGGCAGGTTGGTTGAAATTGGCATACCGAAAGTCACTGGGATTCAGGGCACTTAAACATTTAACAGTCAAGCTGAGCTGATGTGCAGGCACTATATTGTGCTTGCACTGTTGTAACAGTGACCAACTAGAAACTATGATGGCACTACATACTCATCGTAAGCTCAGCTTAGGTAGAATCTTTACATGACTTCTCAACATAAGGGGAAAACAATTTAACTCATCTGGTAAACCTCTACAATTAATAAATACGTAAACTATATTACGATAATAACTGACCTTTCTTTTTCTTTAAGGCTGTATCACCACTGCTTGCTCCTGAGCTGTTCTGTGAACCAGACCTGTAACACAAATGGGTTGAAGTTAAAGCAGAACATTTAAGCAGAACATTTAATTATCAAAGTGGAAACGACTACCACTGATAGGTATGAACAGCAAATAATAATCAAGACAGCTTTGCCGTTTACAAAATGCCTCTAGGAACTATATCATCAATGTCACAACTAACATATTCAAACAAAATCAACCTGATTGATAAATTCTGCCAATAAATAAGGACATTCTATATATTTTTGTCCATACATCACATTTATGTGGCGATTAATGCACAATTAAACACATTATCACAGCACACAGGAACTTCATCTGCTTTGCAGCACACTATAAATGTGTTGAGGTATCCTCCATCAGGAAAAAATATGCATGTCGGTTTTTGGCTACATTGTGGTGCATTGGCAGCCTATTCAGAATAAGAGATGAAATTGTGGCCGATTACCGAAATTCGTCCTAGTGCTTTGTTTTAATTACCGATCCAACCTTGCGATAATCGGGGTAGGATGGGGCCGCCGTAAGCAAATCGTACAAAAAGTGTCGCCCGATGAGCGCAAGGTGTATGGGCAGCCTTATAATGAGCTTCTGGAGTTCCAAATGTCAAAGATACACACACACACACACACACGTGATTATATAAATATAATCACACACACATACAGGGCTTGAAAAAATGTTAGGGTGTCTCACCAGTCAGCATGACCGGACTATAGCCTTGCAATTTAATGTTAACATTTTTTGGGGACAGATAGAGCTTTATTTTGAAGGTATATAATCACCACTGGGGTGGGGGGGTTATTTTTTTTTGCTATATAATGGAAAAAAAAATTATATATATATATAAAAAGTGTACTGTATCATGCAGTGATGGAGAAGAAGGGAAGTGATATGCTGACAGTGTCACACACGGCACAGTACCTGCAGGATCTCTGTCGGCCTCACACCTCATGTGTTCTCTGGACCTCGGAAGCCCCTTCCGTCTCCTCACGGCCACACCTCCGTTGCGCCAGGCTGACTGCTGGGTAATGCAGTCCTCTGGCCGGCGACAGCTCTCCTGCTCCTCAGTTCGCCGCGGGCGGCGTGAGAAAGGGAAAATGAATGTAAAGCTCCCGGCCGGCCGTTTAATTACAACGGCCGGTCGGGAAGCTACTCGTCCAGCACTGGCGTCCACATTTTTCGAGCCCTTTATAGTACTCGCCGATACTGGAAGTCCCATTAAGGAAACCAGGCGGCCTGTAATGACTCGCCACCTGGCTTCCCGATTAGCCGGGAGGCGTGTAAAGACTCGCCACCCCGATTTGCAGGGAAGCCGTCTCCATGCTCCAAAAGCATGGAGCCGGCTTTCTGTCCAATCAGGAAGCCGGGCGCCGTGTAATGATGCGGCACCCGGCTCCGTCGCCACAAGGTGATGAGGGAGCATGAAGCCGGCTTCCAGGCCAATCAGCGAGCATTACACACTGCCCTGCTTACTAAATGGCCGGGCAATCAAGAAGCCGGGCAGCATGTAATGACTTGCTGCCTGGCTTCCTGATACTGGAAGCTCAAGTATCTGGCTAGGCATCAGGGCGAGTACGAGTATTCGGCCAAATACTCAGCACCGATACTAGTATCAGCATTGGTGCA